GCAAAATAAATCTTTTTTCTCATTAGGAGACTATTTGTGATGTATGTTTGTGTCTCTGGTTTCTTATTACTCAGTAATTGAATGAGATAAGGATATAAAATTTCATCCACTTCATCTTTCCCCTCATTCACACATAACTGGGATAGATATCTACAATGAGTGACATAATGATTAATATTTTAATAACTAAAATAGTAAGAATTTTCGTTTAAATAACTTACATTGTCCACAACTGCATAACGAATATGTTGAGATCTAGATTGTTCGTTGCAATCTCTAACATATCAAACATGTATATATATAATGAGATATCATTCTCTCATCCAAAAAGGATAGAATCACATGATACCTCAACTAGGTTGGTATTAATGGCCTTGACAACATCAAAAAATGAAGACAAATGATCACTAATAGTATATTACTTCTTCCTTTTCCCATCTTTCTGGCGTCGTGGAGATCCTCAGGAATAAAAGTACCCTAGGTACATTCCTCAACCAAATAATCTTGTAACACAATCAAATTTTAAGATATGTTGTAATTTTAATATAATAAATATTATAAAAAAAGTACTTACAATTCGTTAAGCCATAAGATATGACTCCTCGAAGTATATCTACTCGAGTTTTTAAGTCGAACTTGCTTCTACTTCTCAAGACGTGAACGTGAAGATGGTGGGTCAAGACTAGAAGCATCTAATGAAGAGATAAATCGTGTTTTCTCTTTCTTCATCATCATGACTTGCTCAAGGTTCAGACAAACCCACATGATAGTAAGTGAGGGATCACATTATGTGTCTAAATAACTTATGCTTTCTTCCTAACACCCTATTACTAAGTAAAAATAATATTATTAATCAGTTAATTATAATTACTAACAAATGTGAAAAACAAAGAAATATATGATTATATGTCATTTCTCATTTTCCCTCGTTTGAATAAACTGTGCCCAAGTTTTTTCACCAATCGTTGTGTATTTGTTATAAGGATTTTCATTACTCCTTGTACCAAATACATAATTTGTCGTTAGTTTAGACTTAAATTGACACCATTTTGTTGTCACTAAAAAAAGAGCATTTGATCCCAATGTCCCAACATTAGGGATACCATAATGTGTCTATGAAACAAAAATAAACATGGATATAATTAGGCAAATTATGAAAGAAACAATTAATATATATTGACTTTTTACCAAGATATATTGCTAAATAATGTTTCTCTCAACCTTAGTAACATGATCCCAAGATGAGACTAAAATAGAAATTTTCTCACGAGCTAATATACTGAGGTAGCAACTAAAATACTTAGCATTTAGGCCGGAGGCCACACTTGTGTGAACGTCAATAATAGGAGATATCATTTAACCACTACCACGTCCTCAACCTATCGGCTCTTACTGCTAGACTTCTTGGACGTTTGCTCAAACTCAAGAGATGATTTTTCATCATCGGACATTTTCCTATTAAAAATACAAAAGAAATTGTTAGATATAATTTAATAATATATTTTTTTAAATAAATAAAATCAATATATATTCATTCATCATAATCTTTGACAATGACTTTATGAGCATATAAGTAAGGAATTATCTCATCTGTATTGTTCAATATTACAAATGTGCCTGAAGAACTTTTTTATGTGATTTAGTTACTATATGAACACCTCATAATCACTTATTTGTTGATTGTCTATTACGTCAAAGTTTGATGAAAGTCTACTGGGATTTTCTTTTGACATATACTTTGAAAAAAATTCAATGACTTCTTCTGCAATGTATCTTTCGATCATAGATGTTTCTAGACAATAATAATTTTTTAACATATCATTTCGGAATATTCATATAATGTTCAACTAGATACATACATCTTAGATAAACTGGACCACACAATCTTATTTCTCTAACTAGATGTACAAGCAAATGCACCATAATATCAAAAAAACAACACCATGATATCAAAAAAGATGGAGGAAAAAACATCTCCAACTAACATACAATAACTACAAATTCAATTGAAGAATACAAACAATCAAGTTATAGTTTGTCTCACATTTTTTAGCAAGATTCAACAAATAGCTACAAACAATAATTATTGCATCAAAATATGACAATAATGAAATTTAAGACCAACTAGTTTCAAATCTTACATAAATATAAGACTCTTAATATTTGAAAAAAAAATCTTATTGTTAATATTGCATAAAAAAAATAAAAGTTATTGAAAAAAAAATAGTAGATTATGAATATTGTTTTAAGAATTCAACAAAATCAATTAAATTAATACTTTTTAGTGATCTAATTATGTGACATGAGGGAATACATTTTATTCCTACTTGATAAGCATTCTGAAATGTTTTATAACTAGAAGGGTAAAATGTGTTTAGTATCTTCAAAAGTTTAAATATATTAAATACGTAGATTCGTAAATTGATGTTATTTATTAGGTTAAATATGTAATTTAGTCCTTTTATTATTTTTTAAATGTTTCAATGTAGTCCCAAAATTTTTAAAATTTTCAATTTAAACATGAATATTGAAATTGATGTCAATTTTGGACTACCATTATTTATGTTTTGACTTCGTTATATTAGATGCCTAGTTGGAGTATCAGTTCTAATGTGGTTAGGTGATTGATTATAGTTATGTGGCAGTTTGTCATGTCACATTAAAATTGCAGGAAGAAATAAATAGAAGCCGCAAATGTGTTTAGGGTATGAACGATTGAGAGTTTGTGCAAATGAGTTAGGAAAAGTGTGAGGATCTGCAATGTTGTCGTGGAGGTACGAGTTCCATTTGTGATGAAAGAGGAGGAGGAGGAGGAGGAGGATCTGCCTTCTCGTTGACGATGGTTGCTTATCACCGTCTCTCTCTCCTTACCGTCGTTCCTTATTCGTCGCAATGAGTAGCAGGTAGTCCCTCCCGTGTGCTCGACTTCACCGTCATCACATTCCCTCTCCCCCTCCCCTTGTCGTCGAAAATAACTCGCTCCCTCGATGTCGTTGTCACAAATCCTAAATGGAATCAACCTCCTCCTCCTTCATCATAATCAATCTCATACACGACGACGATTGGAACCCTAAACCCCCACTGTTGTCACAAATGAAACTCCCACCTCCCCTGTAGTTGCAGATCCTCACACTTTCCCTCACCCATTTGCACAAACTCTCAATTGTTCAAATCTTAAACACATATGCGACATTATTCCTTTCTTCTTGCAATTTTAATGTGATGTGACAAATCTGTCACGTAACTATAACCAATCACCTAACCACATCAAAACTGATACTTCAACTGGACATCTAATATAACGGAGTCAAAACATACATAACGGTAGTCCAAAATTGACATCAATCTCAATATTCATGTCTAAATTGAAAATTTTACAAATTTTGGGACCACATTGAAACATTTTAACAAATAAAGGGACTAAATTACCTATTTAACCTATTTATTATATAATAAAAAAATATTTAAGATTTTCTATTTTAATCTTTTTATATCTACCTCGTATTACAAAGAATTACTGAAGGTGAAATGACTTTAAAATTTGACAAACTATTTATTTCAAATTAAATATACAATTTTCAACAAAACTTATTTGATTAAAAAAATTAAATGTGAAAATAATGGTGGTTTAATTTTTATTTAAAAAATATATATATATATATATATATATATATTTTCTTGACTTAAATTTCAAATATATAAAAATAAAAAAATATCAATAACTTATATTTACTTACTCTCCCAATGATTTAAATTTATTTGCCTTATCAATACTAAATCACCTCAATAGGAAAAATGAAATGAAAAAAAATAATTCAAAATAGTATTTAAGTCTATTGGATTTAATCCTATGATTTAATAAATGTTATTTAAATTTTTAAGTAAAGATGACAAAATGGATTGGATTAGATGTGTTGGTCTACCAACTTGTTTTAAAAATGGTAGGAGTAGTTGGTAATTTTAGTCCACCCGGTCAAGAGTTAAATCGAATGACTCGTTGATTCGCATTTAAAAAATATTTATATATTAAAATAAAAAAAAAATATTATAATAAAAATATTATATTTTCTTGTATCATTTTATGTAAATATACCTTTAATTTTATAATTTAAATTATATATTAACCAATTAAAATTAAATATTTTAAGACATAAATATAATATTTTTCAATTTATTAAATAAAAATATTAATTAATTAATAAATAATAAAAAATTATTTAAATAATTAAAGGTATATTTTTAAAATATATAACAAATTTTATATAAAAAAATATTGATAAAATGATTAGTTAATTCGTCAATCTACTCTTGGACAATGTAAACTAAGATCTGGAGTCCGTCTTAATTATGACGAACCCTCTCATCTCGCCTTTAACGTAGTAAAGGCGATATAAGTCAATATAAGATAAATAGACCCATTTTGTTATCCTCGTATTATTTTTATGAAGGAAAAAAAAAGATTTCTAATCCATTAAAAATATTATACCAAACTTTCTACAAGTCCAGTTGTATAAAATTAAACTTTCAATGAGTTTAAATTTTTCTTATTTATTTCATCAATTTGAATAATATTTTAATTAATTAAAACTATTTTTAACTCTTATGCCCATTAACAATCTTCAAAGGATAGTAAAAACATTTATACATGTAACAATTACAATTAAATTCAAGAAAAAAATGAATCAAATAACAATAACGAGAAATTTGATGGTTAGAAGCATCAATTTTTAAAATTTTAAGATTTTAGATTAACACATCACACAAAATTAAAACTGAAGCATCAAATTCATCGTTCAGGAAACTTTTCCCCAATTTCTTAAAATAAAATCTATCAATTACAAGTACATAAGCTTAAATTTATTACATTCATCTGCAGAACTAAAACTCTCAAGTACTATTGCATTATTGAATGAAAAAGAGACATAAAGTATTACCATGTTAACCGATAAGAAAATGATTGAAATAGTGTCAAATTTTGAAGTTGCCAAGGGGAACTCTCTTCAGTGGTACAAGAACTCAGGACCTGACTGAAACACATTTGTGTGAAGCATCAAAAAGTCACTTGATGGTTTGAAATCCTTGTCCCTGACAGAGGGTGCATCACTTTGATGAGCTTCAATTAAAAAGCCATCAATGAGGTCTATGCTGTCAAAGTAACATATCTCTGAAAGTATCAGTTTTGTGGACCAAGGATGCTCCCATTTTCTGGGTGTTCAGCTCCTTATTTGTTTCAACTATGCCCTTCTCTGCCATGAGCAAACTATCCATCAGCTTCACGACTAGTTTAGCATAAGATACTGCCACAGCCTGAGTATAGAGCAAAAGTCACAAAAAATGAATCACCAGAAAACTAAAAGTTCATTATATATAGGCTTAAATATATGTTTGTTGTCCTATGATATTCTGCTGCACTGACAATTTTCCCGTCCTCAAAACTTCGACTCAGTCTCTGATGTAATGGTGTAATCTGTCTATCATGAGAGACAGGAACAGCACAAACCCTGCCCACATCCGCATATGTCAAAAATCAATTTCAACTATTGTACAACACCGGATGGCTTTACACATGAAGCAGAAATTATAGCAAAAATAGAAACCCGTTATATCAAATAACTTGGTACACAAGGCAAATATTTAATTTGCATTGGGTTCAGTTAGTTAGATTATATATATATAAATTCCTTAAAATGAACGGATCTTTTGAAATACACTTCTTGAGTGACAATATAAATTATATCGTTGAATAAAAAAAATTATGCCAATGTTGATTTTTATAAACGTCTACCAATTTACACTATCACGTACAGTTTATTGACTTTTATAATAACTATTTTAGAAGTCATATATTTAGATTATATAAAAGCTAGTTTATTATAATAGTTGTCTAGAAGTTATTTCAAAATAACTTCGGATTGATTTACACCTAATTAAACGAAAAAAATGAACATGAACTTAATGGAAGTTTTTTTAACCATAGTATTGGTCAAAGCAGTGATTAATCTTGACCACAATATGAATATTCCTTTTAGACATGATTTATTCCATACCCAAAATGACATAGTCAAATTCGAATCTTGAACCACTTTATTAAGAAACATGAACTTAATGGCAGTTTGATTTAAAAAATATATCATCCGAATTTAAATCATTTTTTTTTCACTTTTATTCTACAAAGTCAATAAACTTTCTATAAATAGCAGTTTAGTTTGTTAATAGATGTGATTGAATACAGCGTACACACATACACTTACATCTATTTTTTTTATTCTAATCTTTACTAATTATAGAAGGGGAAAAAAAGGGAACATTTTCTAAAACATAATACACTTACACAGCTTACACGATTTTCATTCTTGTAAGTTTTTTACTGAGAAATAAAATAAACAATCATAATTTTCGTAATACCACAAAGCTGAAGCCATGGTACATCGGTTACCATCAATTCATTATCCAGATATACATATTATTCGTAAAGTTTGAATGTATTATGGTTTGAGAAAAATGTAGTTCACATTCAAATTTGAATCTTATAAATGGAAAAATATACTTATGAGAAAATATTCAGCACAAATTATTAGTCAAGTTTTACAACAAATATTAATTGTCAAGAAGAGTGATAAAGATTTCACATTAATAATATTGTCACCCAAAATTTGAATTAAGTGTATTATTAAATGTCATATAATTATAAACCTAGATTAAATAATATAGTATCCTTAAATAATTGAAAGTGAAAAAACATATTCAATGCTTAAAAATTACTCTTTTATTTCCAATACAAGTTTTCATTGTTTGTTTAGGAGCTTCTATTAACTTTTTTATCAATGTCCCTCACAACACAAGACGTTACATGAATGCTATTGAAAATCAATAGAGCAGCATGAACATACAGATCTTGTGTAATGTTTTATTTGACAAAAATTAAAAATATGCTAACAAGTTTATAAACAATCACGACACCAGCTGAATTAAATAAACCATAGTATATAATTCATGTGAAATTAAATATTCTGCAAAATGTATATTTTAAATAAAAGTGAATAACACCTAAAATGGGATTGGTAGTATGTGCCTTGTTCTGTATTTTCTCACTTCTCAGCCTCAACTATTTAGCCATTCGTTCATACAACTTAAAAATGAATTCCAATAAATCTTAATAAAGAACAAGAAAACTAAATTATGATTAACCAAAAAGGTCAGTTTCTTGAAAACCTCTACAAAAATAATAATATGCAGCATTCTAAAATTGAAATAAAAGACCTTAAGCTTCAAAATCCCACTATTGGCTAAGGCAATTATAGTGGGTCAATAGCCTATATGCCTATTTACAGCTAACGCAGTCACTGTTCGTCACAAAATAAGGGAATATCACGAAAATCACAATACATAGCATCCTCTAAGCATTTTTTTCTAAATAAATAAAAAATGTAGTTCTGCAAAATGAATGATCAGATGCATCCACAACATTTTTTCTGGTCCACATAACAAAATAAGCCTGCTCAGGTAACAAATAAAAATCTCAAGTCTGCCTCTGTCAATTTCCCCAGAGCATCAGAAGAACCACCAATCGTCCTGTTAAAGAAAGAGGATAAAAAAAGTCAGCATAACAAGATGTCCAGCATCTTTCAAATCTGTTCATTCATCACACTTACCCTTCAAACACGAGTTCCTTCTTCTCTTGCAGTTTCAGAATTCTCTCCTCGATTGTATTCTCGATAACAAATCTCACAATTCTGTGCATAAAAAAAGGTGAGTTCACGAAGAAAGGACCAACCTACATGGTTTTACGCAACTTTTCCATTTATTATAGTCTAATTTGATAGAACTCGAGAGCAAGAAATACCTTATAGGTTTATATTGCCCTATTCGGTGAATTCTGTCTTGAGCCTGGCGTTCCACGGCAGGATTCCACCAAGGGTCCATAAGGAAGACCTGACCATGCCCAAGAAACGAGACCAAAATAAGCCAACTTAAGCTGAACCATGATAAAGGAAACAAGAAAAAAATTGTTTGCCACAAAAACATTGACTCATAAAAGCAGCTCCCATGTGAACACTGGATGCGAATAGAAACTCCAAATGTGAAAGGCATATAAAGTGGACTTCAGAGATAAAACCTTAACCTCTAAAAAAAATTTGAAGCGAGATGTAAATTAGCAGCATATTTATTGACAACTTAAATTCCAAAACAAGAGAATACCAAAAGATTGACACAAGAAATGCAAAATATGATTGCTTACATGTGAAGCTACCGTCAAATTGAGTGCAACACCCCCAGCCTTCAAGCTCATTAGAAAAATTTTGCAATCTGGATCTTCAGTGAATCTCCGAATGGCAGCATCCCTAGCAGCCAATGACATGCTTCCATTCAACTGAACACAAGATACTCCAGACTGCAACTAGAACATAATATTATCATCCCAAATCAATTTAGGTGTATTAATCAAACAAAGCTGACGATTAAATTACCTTGTGTAAAGAGTAGTTTATAAGATCCAGGAATGATGTGAATTGGCTAAAAACAATCCCTTTGGCAGAACCATCCCTTTCGACCATGAATCTTATTTCTTCTCTCTGCAACCATTCAGGTAAAAGTCAAAAACAAAATAGTAAAAAGTATGCACAGAACAGAAGATATTGAAGAAAACAACTGATAATAATAGCACTATTTTCTTCACAACAATAATCTTTCAGCTTATTATTTAGCCAAATGTTAGTTTCTCACACCCTCCCTTTGTCATACAAGCAACAAAATTCTCAATGATCATTACGATTTTTCAGCAAATATGCCAGGTCGAGAATATTTAAGAAGTTAAAATAATATTTACTAACTACTATTTTGCTACCAAGAAGCTTAATTTGATTTTTCAAGAATGCCCCACATTTCAATAATTACCTTGTGTTTAGATGGAGAATTTATAAAAGATATTTTAATAGAGTATATGAAATACGTTGTGACAAAATTGGTTGTTTAGATAGAGAATTTGAAAAGTAATTAAAATTCTATAAATTGAGGGTATTTTTTTATTACTTAGAATAAGAAAATTTCAAATTTTATCTAAAAAATACAAATTTGAAAATTTTTCATCATTTTCTTTTCTCAAATTTTTGTATTTTCTCTTAATATTTTCTTTTTTGATTCAATCTTAATTAAGATATTTTTTACCCATCTCGACCCATTTCAATACGAAGCGACCTGACTCGACCCAACTCATCTTGACATGATTCAAACCAACTTGTCACATTCTAACCATATTTCGACCAAACCACTCTTGATTTGGTCCATATTGTATTGGCATGTCAACCCATCCCAACCTAATCTAACACTTCCTAATTAAATTCAACCCAACTACCCAAAATAGGCATGACCCACCTCCACACAATCAATCTGATCCCTCTTGATCTAACACATCTTATCTTGGTCTCACCCAACCTATCTTTAATCTTGGTCCATCCTATTTGATTAGGACTTGACCTGACCCATCTCGACCCACATCAACTTGACATGGTCTAATTAATCATGATTCAACCTAACTCATCCCAACATAGTTTGTTACGACCTGATCCATCCTACCTAATCAACCTAAGTCGACTTGACCTAACCTTCCCAGTCTAGTCTTTCCCAATCTAACGTAACTCAATCTAACTTGTCATGATCTATTTCCGTCTAACCTGACCATATGGATAAAGATCTTTGAGTTGGACCTAGTTCATAAATGTAATAATGATAATTTTTATATTTGATAGTAATTGAAATACTTTATCCAAATAAAAAAAAATTAAATTGTCTTATCCAAACAAATCATTTAAAAAAATAAATCATTTAAAATGAAAGAAATTCAAATTTAGAGTATTTAGATTCTTAGAAATTACAAAATCCCATATCCAATTTGGCATGCCTGAAAAATCCTCAAGCCATTCCATAGCTCAAGTTTTACAAAACATAAAGCATCGACAAAAGAAACCAAGAGCTAGCTGAATAAAAGTTTCATACCCATAGAAAAACCGAAATACTTTGTCAAATAACTACATCGTGATACATACCAAAGCCTCTATTTTAGTGCTTGTCTGAAAGTTCTCAAGGCGAATCCTATTCAAAATGCTCGAGGATCTAAAACCCTTAATTGTTGTTTTAGCCTGATCTCCAAGATCCTTGTTGGGTGTTAAATCAACTGTAAGTAATTTAGAGCACGTGGGGCATGATACTTGGCCCAAGGAAGTAGAGTAGTAGTCTATCAAGCATGCCCTGCAAAATGAATGCTCACAGGAGGTAACCTGAAACAATGACTAAATACTTTAAAACACTAAACTTAGCTAAAAAATTGTTTTGGAAAAGGTTTAACCAGGTAACAAAAGAAAATAAAATCAAATAAAAAAAGCAATCAGAAAACTTGAATTTTTAAAAAAAGCAAAAACTCACAACAAGATCTTCTACAGGCTCATGGCAAATACCACAAATTTGTTCAACAGTAGCATTACTGGTCATAACTGCACTTCTTGATGCTGCACTTTGAGAATATACCACAAGGTATGGATGATCAACAGCCTGTATATTTGAGCAGGAGTTAATACAAATCTGGAATGTTTAAGCAATTAGGAGAAACTTCCCAGCTCTTACATGAGGACAGGGGCTGAACTATATTTTATTAAATAAAATTAAAATTGGGTACCATACCTCAAAGAAGTAATTAGGTTTTAAACAGAAATTATTTACCAACAATACCATATGCTAATAGAGCTTGTAATTCTGATGTGCACAAAGTTTACTAACTGCTGTAATATAAGTTTTTTCAAAATATTTGTGAAGTAAAATGTGATTTGGGATGATTACAGCCCAGGCCACTATTTTCAACATGCCCATGATCATTAACCAGACCTTCATCAACATTTATCCAAACTTGAAAAAAAAAAATGGATGCAGAAGGAAGAGACAGAAAATATATTTTATTTCCAATAGAAGAAGTATCAACCTGACGCAGCCTTGTGAGGAGGTCAAATATATGAGCATAATTATTCATCAGAGTATTTGCTTCAATGTATCTGTAATAAGAAAGGATGTCAATGAAACTAAGCTCAGATTAATGTAACCATTCAAAAGCAAAATAGTGGCCTATAACTATTGAAATTGTGCAAGAGAAAAATAGAATAGATGGACCAATATATCCATGAACTTTCAAATGGAACACTAAGTTTTGCATCTTCATTCGGCCTATGTTAACAAAAAGGCATGGCTACAATTAATTATACTTTCATGATTGTTTCATTAATAACCTAATTAACTCCTGAAATTCATACCTACCAACAGCTTTTTCCCTATGAAGAAGAATCTGCTTTGCAATGATTTCATTTTACGGTAAAGAAAAAGAAAAAGAATGTCGTACGTATTAAATTGTGCTTGACTCTCATTGTATAACGATTCATAATAGTCTTGCTCTTTAATATCCAGGCAATCCTTTCTCAATGAAACCTGCAAGAAATGTATAAAAAATAAGCATACAACTGTTTCAATAATTTAAAACGAACACAACCACATTGGATACAACTCACAATTCTAGGTGGAAGTGCAAGATCAGCCGCTCTGCCTATTTTAGTGCGTCTTAATACTATGTTCTTCAAAACTTTATGTTTAAGCAATATCATAGCTCTTTTCCCAGAATCACCATTTCCATAAGATTGAATAGGTGTGGCAACATACTAATCAAGAATGAAAAAAAAAAAAATAGTTAAAAGCATGTACACGAATCAGATGAAACACATTATTCCACTTAGTTGCAGTTTGCAGAATTGGTTTCTCTTTGTATCTCTCCCTTAAACATGGTGAACACAAAAAAGGAATAACAGACTGCGGAACTTACTTTATTCCACCAACAGAAATGTCGCACAGAACTGTGATTGCAGACTGAACATTCTTTAGAGCTGTATAAAGGCAACAGCATGTTAACACATAGCCAACATTTCAAGAAGAAAACAATCGTTTTGAAAATCTTATGACAACATGTGCAAGTATGGCCAGTAGCTGCCTTAATTCATATCTAGAATCTTCATCTATTAACTTGTCAAGAAAAATCATAAAAGCAAAAACTACATATTTTCCTAAAACAACAAGATTATAAAACATTATCCGCCAAAAAACCTGAGGGAATAGACTCTACAGGAAATCAGTGAATCAGTTTTCTAATTGAAATGAAATAACCTGAGGGAAAAAAAATGACAATATTCCATACATCCTAGGCAAGTCAAGATGGGTAGTGGATGGAAAGATAATGAAAAAAAAATGAATGACCGATTAATATATCATTCATCAAGTCTATATGCATGATTAGTGCCTTCTAATCCATACAGCTTCATTATATTATGAATTATCATACCTGTGATCAAGAATCCTGCAGTCGCAGTCCTTACACAAGTAATAAGAATAAGGAGTTATTTGCAGGAACCGTATCTGCACACACAGAATTGCAATTTTTTGAATACTTTAAATACAACCTGATACATTACAGATTAACATCAGAAAAAGAATGCTGCAAACATACCAGAGAATACAGCTCTCCAACTCGATTCTGAAGGGGAGTGCCACTTAACGCCCATTTGTAGGTAGACTCTAACGCAAGAACTGCTTTAGCAGTGTTACAGTGTCTAGATTTTATATAATGTGCCTGAAATTTATATGTATATATAAAGAAAAACTGGTCAGCAAAATAAAAGAGTTGAACATGAACCAATTTTAGTAAACAGATTTGACTCCGCACTCGATACCTTAAATTATATAATAAACAATATCAATTAAAGTCAAAAGACCTAGTTTGAGCAATAATTCATTCTTTTCCTTATTTCTCTCACTGAATAAGCCCTAGCCATAGTGAAACAAGAAAGAAAAATTGTGGTTTATAGAAATACAGACAATGGCACCGATAAAAACAATGGAAGATATAAAATACCTCTTTTTACTTTCTTTTTTAAAAAATAAATTCATAACAAACTATTACAACTTACCTCATCCAATATTATCCGCTGCCATTTCACAGCATGGAGAAATGATCTATCGCTACGTACAGGTGCAGCATCAGAATCTTCCATATCTATGCACATTTCATCTCCCTTTTTCTTGTTAGAACCCTTCAACATCTTGCTACTGTCACCTTCCTTGGTCTTCCCTTTAATAAATTCTCTTTTCTTCTTAGCTTGCTTTGATTGTTTTTCTGTTCTAATAGCATTAGGTCCACAAAAATAGTTCTGATGATACATTAGCTTATTCGGCAAAAATAATCTTCCACAATATGGGCATCTCTCTTTAGGCGGCATCATATGCTTCCTGTACTCAGTCTCAACAACAGAGTACGTAGTTATCACAAAATCATAATCTGCAAACCGATCCCCACTCCTCCCTCTATTAGCCCCATGATAAATCAGCACCTTGGTGCTTCCTTTTAAAGTAAAGCGATCAATCTCACTAACCCACTGAGTAACAGCAACCACAGGACATATGACAAGGGTTCCTTTGATTGCAGGCAACAGCCTGGATGAACACGGTATGGATTGATCTGGCTCACTACTTTCTTGGAATTCTCGTTTGGCAAGGACAAGAGCAATTGCTTGAATAGTCTTCCCCATTCCCATTTCGTCTGCAAGTATTCCCCCTCTACTAGCAGAATCCTCCTGTTTCAAAGCCCAGGCTAGCCATTCCTTCTGGTATCTAAGTAAAGGCATAGTCAGATCAGAGGGCGCCTCAGCAGTTTCACTCATTACTTCACTCTGATTATCTAAGTCAACATCTTCTGATATATGCTGATCAATCCATTTCTCTTGCTCCTCTTCCCACGCATTCCACAACAACACTGGACGAGAATCTCCTTTACTTCCTTTTTTTGTATATTTCCTCTTCTTAGTTCCCTTAAAAACAGAGGGAACCAGTACTGGAGAAACCATCATGTAAGCATGACCCACCACTCTAACCAAATCACTCGGTTCCCCTTTTACTGAGTTGATACTTTTTCTTTTCTCTCTTGACAACGCCGCCTTTCCCTTTTTCAATGAAGGTTTGTCACCATCAGATGAATCAAAATCATAATCTTCACCGGAAAAAGTGATGCTTGAAAGTCGATTTACATTCAAGTCCAGCCGGGAGCTCCCACCCAATTCTTCATCTGCGATAAATTTTGTTTAATTTTCAGACATACAACCAGAACAAAAAATCACAGATAAAATTAGGTTAATACGTTTTTCCAAAGAAGTAAGGAAAGAAAACTTCTAGGTAACATTATTCAACTTTCTTCTTAAACCTGGTTCAATAACAAAGGTTAAACTAAAACGATGCATAGCTACACGCGCTAGGTCTTAAAATTTTCCCAATTAAGTCTCCAAACATCTCAGGATCATGCTTTTGGGTAAAAAAATAGAGGAAACAAGGAAGCGCAAACCCAAAATATTGCAGACAAGCCACATGCAAAATCATATAATGAAGATATCCACTGAGTTTAAACCAAAGAGTATAACAGTTTACCTTCATAATCGAAATCGGAATCAGAACCAGAAACTATATCCGAATCAGAAGATATAACAGAAACACCTTTATCTTTATTGTTGCTGCACTGGCCCTTGGCTTCGTCTTCCACAACTGCATCATCCTTATGCTGCTGCTCACTCCCTGTTTTTCCCATTCACACATCACAATGTTAATAATGCCTAGTATAGCAATAAAAAAAAAACAAACGAAACGTAACCGATAATCCACAACACACTGTGTCTTCAACAACACTATTAACCGTTAACATCGGCGTCACTCTTCTTTTCAAAAATCGACTAAAACTATCCACACACATTTCATGCAAGGAAAAAAAAAATAGCGCATGAAAAGTAAAGAAATAGAAGCAAGTATCGAACAGGAGAAAGACATCAAAAGGTCTCCATCCAGCGAAACAGTGGACAAATTAGAACATAAAGTTCTGAAACCGACATAAAAGAAAAATGAAAAGGAATTAATAGGAAAAATTGAGAGTACCAGAAACTGTGGGATTGGAAAGGCGTCGACGAGAACGAAGCTCCATTAAAGCACGTAAATGAAAGTTAGGGTTTCCAATCGAAAAACAGTTTCGAATAAACGAGCGACGAATATGATCGCACAGTAAGAAACAGTGTTCGTTTTCCCTCTCTCTTATCTATCTATGGAGAGGCAATGGATTGTCCCTACGGTTCGGTTTTGTGACTGAAACGGCGGGAAGTGACACCCTTCTTGTACACAGTAACGAAGCGCCACGCACGAAGTTCAACGTCAGGGGCTATAATCTTCTGCGGTACTGATCACAATAGAGTGAAGAATGAATCCATAAACCTATGAGTATCCACCGCTTTAATACTGTGATGCCCCTGGTCTACATAATCCAACGGTTAGGGTTTAAAAATCTTAATTGATCGTGATGTCCGCCGAGGTCAACGGTGTGATGTCTTGCAACTTTTCGTTGGTGTTGATACACTGGATCTTTTTTTTTTTTCTTTTTTCTTTTCACACCAACTTTTTCCTTATTGAAATTTGAATACTGCCATTCATATGGCATGACTCGCTGTCCACACTATTTCTGTATCCACAGAATTGTTACATAGAAAAGTTTCTACAAAAAAAGTTTCACTTTATCAAATTAATAAATTAATTATCTACCAATATTAACTTTTTAAAATTAATTTCACTCCAATCTAACCAAACAATGTTATGAAGAAGGAAATTTTAACAGATAAACAATTATATTCTTAAAATTGTGGAAATTTTATATTTTTTTCCTTCTTAAAAAAATGTTTTTTGGATTGTAGAAATTATCGTAAATAGTTAATAATAGTACAATAATCTTCACAAGCAAGCCAAAGTAACAAAAAGACTGAAATGCTCAATAAACAAAACCATCTTATAAAAGAAAAAAAAACTCAAAACTTTGAAAAATCATTAAAATATTATATACACTTATTATGTTTAGGTAAATAAAATTATTTTAAACCTTTCTTTTCCTTGTTACGAGAAAGATGACTGACATCAGTCTTCAATTACTTTTATCAAGAACATGCAAGCATGAGATTGATTGATAGGGTTTGACCTAGTCTAAACCTATTATTTAACTTAATTAAAATATCTTAAATTTGATTTTTTATAATTTTTATGTCTAATATAATTTAACTCATGTTACTTTATCAATTGAGTCACGTGTTTTTTTCAGATATATTAACAAATTTATATTAAATTTTCAATATATTAAATATGTTTCCAACAAAACTTTATATTAAAATATAATAAGCTTTATTTGATTATATTAAAATATGTTTAAGATTTTCTATTTTGATTTTTTATTTCTAAGTCGTATTAATAAGAATTACATAGACGGGTGAAACGAACTTTAAAAATTGAGAAACTATTTATTTTAAATTAAATATACAATATTCAATAAAATTGTTTCATTTGAAATAAATGTATATAATGGTGGGTTAACTTCTATTTTAAAAAAATAACTTAAATTTCAAATATATAAAATAATAAACAAAAAACACAGATTCAAGTCTATTTATCTTATAATTCCATTATTCAGTTAAAACGAAATTAAATCACCTCAATAATATATTATAAATTAAATAAAAAAAATTTCATAATAGTATCCAAGATTATGGTTTAATAAATGCTTTTTTATTTTATAAAGAAAAAAAAAGGTTTTTCTTCTATTAAAAACATTATACGAAATGTTCTAATAGTATAATTGTATAAAATTAAAGTTTTAATGGATTTAAAAATTTATCATTTATTTTATTAATTAAAATAATATATTAATTGATTAAAATTATTTTTAACTCTTATACCCATTAACATTAACAATTTTATTACTATTAAAGGACAATAAAAACATTTAAATGAACATAAATGCAAAAATACAATTAAATTCAAGAAAAATTACTATTAAAGGACAATAAAAACATTTAATTAAATGAATATAAATGCAAAAATTACAATTAAATTAAGAAAAACGATTTTTCTTCTTCCTCTCTTCTCTTCTCCCTTCTGTTTCATGTTCTACCTCACTCTATGCTTACGTGGCTACCATTTTATTTTGAATTGTTGTGACCTTGTAAGTTCTTTTTTGAGTTTGGTAACATTTATAGTTCTAATGTTTATACTGTTGTATGGGAAGTTGTGAATATATAAAGTAGAGTTGATCAAGTAAATCTAATAATAGATATGTATTTCTATCGTGTCATTGTGTTGTCCTTTTATGTTTAGTTTTGGATGAATGTTTATTTAATGAGAAATGTAACAAAATAATGAGTATTTTAATAAATAAAAATAAACTTTTTACTTCATGGTTAAAAATGTAGACATTCAACGATAATTTTATTCACATTTTTAATATTAATTCTTTTATAATGGTACTATTATAATGTAAAAACATTTATTTTTATTTTAAGATTTTAGATTAACACATCACACTAAATTAATACTGAAGCATCAAATATATCGTTCAGGAAACTTTTCCCCAATTTCTTAAAATATAATCTATCAATTACAAGTACATAAGCTTCAATTTATTACATTCATCTGCTGAATTAAAACTCTCAAGTACTATTACATTATTGAATGCAAAAAGAGACATAAAGTATGACCATGTTAACCGATAAGAAAATGATTGAAATAGTGTCGAATTTTGAAGTTGCCAAGGGGAACTCTCTTCATTGGTACAAGAACTCAGGACCTGACTGAAACATTTGTGTGAAGCATCAAAAAGTCACTTGATGGTTTGAAATCCTTGTCCCTGACAGAGGGTGCATCACTTTGATGAGCTTCAATAAAAAGCCATCAACGAGGTCTATGCTGTCAAAGTAACATATGTCTGAAAGTATCAGTTTTGTGGATCAAGGATGCTCCCATTTTCTGGGTGTTCAGTTCCTTATTTGTTTCAACTATGCCCTTCTCTGCCATGAGCAAACTATCCATCAGCTTCACAACTTGTTTAGCATAAGATACTGCCACAGCCTGAGTATAGAGCAAAAGTCACAAAAAATGAATCACCAGAAAACTAAAAGTTCATAATAAATAGGCTTATATATATGTTTGTGGTCCTATAATATACTAGTTTATAGTTTTAGTCCTTATTCTTATCCAACTCATTCTTAGATAGAAAGATATTTATGCTATTATTTAAGAAATATCGACAACAAATAAAACCTAAACACAAAAACAGATATTTAAGCCATAGTACACGTCACACCAACCAGTTATTTACCTGGAAGAAGCAAAGCCAAGACGCATAAGAAATGAAACACTGATTGATAGTTGCAGTATATGCAGATGCATAGTCTTGACAATGAGGAACATGCATCTTCAACTGCAGCTTAGTTTGTCCTTTGTGAGTGGCGGGGTTCTCATCATTGAGGTACTTGGTGTTTTGTGGATCTTTAAGTTGACTGAAGTGTCTAGAACATGGACAACATTCAATTAATGAAACATTTTTTCAAGTAAACAAACTACAGAAGAACACATTCATGGCTTGTATGAGGTGCCACTGCCAATAGTCCTTGTTATTTTTGTATGCTAATTTGTCCCATTTTTACCAGGCTACTACCAACATCTGCATCTATCCATATTGGCATATGTAATTTGTCAGCTGTGACATCTAGTTAATTAAAGAATCTCAGAGCGTGTAACATCTACAATATTTGTAACACTGCCTAAATGTCTGAATATTCTCAAAATCATGAACATGCTATGAGGCTTTTCTGGTAATAGACTACTCTCAGTACCTGAGTTTGGGCCCAAAGCCCATCATGATGGCATTTGGGTTTCCTAATGAGTTACATCTTCTTCATTCCACTGCACAAATGACAATCCCAGATGTATTAGATTGGTTTCCCCATGTTTTTTTAAGAAACAAACACGTACCCTTTTCATAGTTTAAAACTGTCTAATGATAAACTATTTTATTATTGTCACTGGTTACGTACATGTTTAGTTGCTAGATTATACACAAGATCACAATAATTGGAGGTAACGTGTCACTAACAATGCCATATAATTATATTATACACTTGGCACCAAGTAATTGGAGAGGGAGTGTTTCAGTTTCCATCTAGTGAAGTTGAGGGCTTCTATATTTGAACCTGTTATATTCAACTATGCATGTTCTCCTCGGTTTACGTTGGCTAATTTTATGATAATAAATCAGTCTTAAGAGACTTCAAACCTGGTATACATCAGTCAATGGCGTTTCCGTACATAAAGTCTACAACCCACTAATGATAAACGCATCCTTATCACTTCATCATGTGTTTGATTGTTGATAGATCTGTTAATTAAATAGACTTAAACTTATATGGGGCCATCTCTTGATTTATTTACTGCTTTATTTCATTAATTCCGACATTGATATCTTGTGTAATTCGCCGCAGATCATACCAAATAAATTAATGAAAGGTAATTCTTTAAATGAAAAACCTTTTCATTGGTATAAACACACAGATTCAATTAATATAATATACAACCCAATTGCATGGATTTAGCATATGAAAAAGAATATTCACAGATTCGTTGAAAAAGTAGGATATAAAAGCTACCTGAAAGCAATGGATATTAGGTTCTCTTGTCTGTAATGGCTTAAGATCAAAACTTTGAAGAGACACCTCAAACTGCAATGGACCAAGAGAACCTACCCACAAGCCGTATCAACAGATCAATCAAGAAATCTTCCATCAAAACACTTCTTAAGAACAATATCTTGACTAAACCACACCCATCAGAACCGACAAGTAAAAGTTTGTAACTTTAAAGTTCTAGTACGTCTAAAGTGTTGTGATGAAATAAAAGATCTGCCATTTTTATCTCCGACTATGAAGAGAAAGCAGAAAACAGATTAAACACACAGTATTTCAGTTAAACCAAAACATAATCAATTACCTTGCACTAAGAATGACCAAAAGTGAGTTCCTTTAAGTTTAAAGATGAAGCACATGAATCATAGATTTTAAAACAATGAAAAGAAGAGAGAAGCATACCAATGAACTTGGATTGAGGAAGGGGACGAGGGAGAAGGAAAACCCACAGCCAAGTTTATGAGCACAGAAATAAAGGGGTTGTTGGCACTTGTCCCATGGGGAGCTCTATTAATGTATTGTTTCCCTCACTTGTAAAAGAGACTTAGGTCTTAAATAATCATAATGTCGGAAAATGAAAAATAAAAACAAAAGGAAAAAGTGAAAAAGTTGTCAGTTTAATACGTTCATTGAACCTGGACATAGATCATATGGTGTACAGCAACATGAGAAGCAGTAAAAAAGTTTGGTATAGATACGCCGCATACGCAGGAAAAGATCAAAGCAAAAACTATAAATTATGACTAATATCATCACCATGGATGCATCTTTATTCACTAATGCATGCTATTTTTTTCTCCCGTGTAAAAGAACATGATGCTTTTTGTTTTCTTAATCTTTGGGTTACACTGAGGGTTCAAGTCATAAAGTATACATGTATTTTTTGGGGCTCCATAAAGATATATGTAGGAATATTTATAAAATATCTATTTTAAGGGTGAATGGAAGTTCAATGATGAACTAGAATGTTCAACATAAACTATTCTAAATCTTGTGAAGAAATTATTACTTTAATCTCTTTGAAATTGGGTATAGTATAGTGATCGATTGTATATATGAAAAATGCAGGATTTTCAGTGTTATAAACGTTCAAATTTATTTTGTTTGGATATTCGCTGATTTTCACCGTCAAGGGTGTATGTAACACAGCATATTCTTTCGTTTACCTACTTTTTTTTTCTTATAAAATTATGTACCTTACAACAAAAATAATAGATAAATAAGAGGAATGATGAGAAGAAAGTGATGAATGTTAAATGTTGATGCATCTAGACATATCTATAGTGCATGTTCATCATCGATTAGTTTTTAAATTTTTTTTTCATAGGAGCTGCATGCGACCAATTTAGTTTGTTTACAGAAAAACAAGGTGGGTGGAGGAGGTTGGGGGTAACTGTGATAAACCACTCAAATAAATTTTTTAACTTTTGAAAATAAATAAAAAAGAACTTAAAATTATTTTTAAAAATGATAAACAATTGAGTCCTTAATCCTGTCTAATTTCTATTCTCAAATGAATGAAACTTGTGTTAATTTAATATAAAACTATATATTTTTGTCCTGTTTGATTTTTAATTTTAAAATTAATGAATTCTGTTATTTATCATAGTGATTCGTTATACATAAAACTAATATTTATTAATAATTTTTAATTACCAGAAAGTTTTAAAAAGAATTAAATTTGCATAATATATGACTTTATTCCTTCTTTTTATAGCGTGTATTTAAATTACTAACTTTCTCAAAAAGTAATCCTTAATTACATATAATGTAAAATATTAATTTGAATAATGTGGTTGCATAATAATTTTCATAGTTAGCGGTCATTGAAGTTAGGCTAAAAGTTAAATTTGACAAGGAAGCACTTAAATAAAGTAAGCAATTGCGACACTTCAATCTAAAAGTTACTTTGTTATTATAGCAAGATAGAAAACATTGCTTTCTGAAAGCTTCTGCTTCTCATTAAGTCCAATTTAGATTCCTGTAAATACACCAAATCATGGTTTTTCTTTAAACACCATCTTACATTGACACGTCTAACTTTATCAAATAACCCTATGTTTAGAATCTTTAAAATTTGTTGATGGTTTTACAGGATTTGAATGTTGTATTAATTTTATTGAAGAGTAATTGTTTATTAAGGTATTTCATTTATAATATTCATTTGTGATTTTCGATTATACACACTTTATAATATATGTTTTTTAATGAGAAGTGAAATAACATGTATTATTTTTATTCGGGTCTCTGTAATATTTTATACTTATCTGGTGGTGCACATGAACAGAACAACCAATAGTAACATTTTTTTTTTTTTGTATATGTTTTATACGTTTCTGTCAGAGTCAAAATTCGGGATTAGAATAAATTTAATGTGGCTGTGCGAATCGAATATAGCAAGAACACGTGCCAAGTTGGTACGTGGAAGATGTTACAACAAGAAGTGGAGACATGATTACATGAGAAGAGATGCGAACCAATTATGTTCTCATTAGATATGGTGACTACTGACTTCACAGTGCCACAGTGCATCAGCAACTTTTTCTTGTTTCTTCTGTTGGGTTTGACTTGTAATGGAATGAAAGCTACACATTTGGCTAGATTTCAATAAGAATATATGGAATATATGCAAAGAATAAAACCACAACACTCACTTGGTGGGTGGAAGATGTTAACTTTTGAAAAAGATCAAGACATGAGATGTGAACCAAACATGGTCTTATTGATTGCGATGACATCAGTTTGACAGAATGCATTACCGGATTATTTCCCTTTTTGTTGCTCCTTATGTTTTTAGTTTTGACAGTGTAATAGAGACAAAACTATATATTTGGCTATAACATATCTGTACCTTATTATCCTTTATGAAGATCTATTCAATGACCATAAAACTTTTGAAGTGTAGATGAACTAATAGCACTGTTTAAAGTCAGGATCAACTATTGCTATCATGTATTACATTATTTACCATCTGACAGCTCTTATATTACTTGGACACGAAGGTATCTCCAAATCCTCTTCCATTTCCAGGCTTGAATATGATTGCATTCATTTAAAACTCACCAATCAAAAAGCAGATAACTAAAGTGTGGTTGTGTCAGTGGGGTAGCAGCCCAGCACCCGAAGAAATGTGGCAAATTCCTGTAGGGACATAAAATGGTTTTGATATGTGGTTAGATACTCGAAACATGAAAAAGGAAAAACTTACTGTACCACACAGAAAATATGAGGAAGTGTCTTAGGTTACTGTATATTTTTAGATTAGTGGCTGTTGTAGAAATGACAAATATTTAGTTAAACCGTGATTGAGCCCTAATAGATATAACAGCACCATTAGACACAAAACTAAGAAGCTTTGGACACTCTTTAAGGTCCCACTGTCATGGGCAGTCAAAACATACACCAGAGGGTTCAATTTGAGCTGCGATAACATACCAGCATTCAAGTTTAGGGACTAAAAGCTCCAGAAAGAAAACTCTGTAAGCACAGTATAAGTCCTAACCAATGCTTGCTTTCTCTTCCACTTTCAAAAGTTTTTCTACATCCATCTAATTGATTTCTGCTATTGTTATGGGTTATTATTTTCTACAATTAATTTCTTAGTCATTGACATTATTATTATATTTGGTTTTTAATAAATAAAAATATAACTTCTCTATTTTTCTTATTTGATGATATTTTTTTAACTTATTAGGATTTTAAATATTTTCCTTTAACCATAACATTGTCATGATCACATTTCAGCGACATAGTTTAAACTCGTCTATGGTCAACGAGTTGAAATGCATAGATAGATGTATATGGAAGCACCACTTTAAATTACACAAGACTACTTCAATTCCTTAAGTTTTCCTCTGCTAAAAAAATAAAGTAAGAACATTGTGTGATGTAATATAATTTGTATTTCATAATTACTAAAAATGTAGCAGATCCCAAATTAACTAGTGATTTATATCAGTGATGGTTGTTATTGTGCTTATCAAGACAATCATTATTGGACTGTCATCAGTGCCCAATCTTGCAAGCTGCAATTTTAGATGTCTAATTCTTGTGAAGAGGAAGTGTGTTAGAAATGCAAAATTGATTAGTGATATAGCCAAATTTGTCCCAAATTCTAAGAAAGAGGAGATAAAAAAATATCAAAAGACATAATTCAAATCATAAAATAAGAAGTCAAAGA